TGCTGAACTTGCTGACCTTAAAGGTAGGCAGTTCAAATCCGGGTGAGCTCCCGCTGTTAGTTCCAGCTTCTGCCAACCTAGCAGTTTGAAAACATGCAAATATGAGTAGATCAATAGGTACCGCTTCTGCGGGAAGGTAACGACACTCCATTCAATCATGCTGGCCATATGATCTTGGAGGCATCTATGGACAATGCCGGCTCTTCGGCTTAGAAATGGAGATGAACACCAACCCTCAGAGTCAGACATGACTAGACTTAATGTCAGGGGAAACCTTTACCTTTACCTTACAATATAGCAATATATAATATCAATATTTGTTGGAGATAGCAACTTTCTCAAGCCTCCTTTTTTGTCTGCTTCTCATGTGTCGTTCTATTTCCTGAAGTGTATGTCTTATTTGGTTTGCTGTTTCCTTAGCTCTATGTACTTGAGGCAGTGGGGGTGGCTGTAGATCAAATATTTTTATATATCTATATCTATATCTATATATATATCTTTCTTTCTGCTTCCCCCCTTTAACAACTAATAGTAGCTGCAGTGAGCATTGAAATCCTGAGTAAATCCAATTATATCCAAGAATGAATGGTGTAATAATGACATAATCAGGGTTACATGTTCCATCTCAAATTACAGTCTTACGTCAGCTGTTCACATTGTCATCCAGGCATTGCTCACAACTTCAGGACATTGCTTTACTATCGGAGTATGTCATCATGATGGCAGGGTTTACATTTGGAGGGAAATGGCAAAATATATACAATTCTTTCCAGAATTATAAGAGGGATACGTTTTGTGTATATGTATATTTACATTATATGTCCACCCACGGATCCAAATTACAAAGGGGAGCTGTTGTGGGTGGATTTTGACACTTATCCAACTACTTTCAATGTGAGCAAAACTAAACAAAAAATTGTGTTGTTGAAGGCTTTCATGGCTGGAATCACTGGCTCACTGTGAGTTTTCTGGGCTGTATGTAGAGGTAATTTTCAACGGTAAGCAAACAGTATTTTGACCCCCCCCCCAACCAATCACTGATATATATTTTCTGTTTGTTGTGGGAGTTCTGTGTGCCATATTTGGTTCACTTCCATCATTGGTGGAGTTCAGAATGCTCTTTGATTGTAGGTGAACTATACATCCCAGTAACTACAACTCGCATATGTCAAGGTTTATTTTCCTCAAAAATTTTCAATGGTAAGCAAACAGTATTTTGCCCCCCCCCCCAACCAATCACTGATATATATATATTCTGTTCGTCGTGGGAGTTCTGTGTGCCATATTTGGTTCAATTCCATAATTGGTGGAGTTCAGAATGCTCTTTGATTGTAAGTGAACTATACATCCCAGTAACTACAAGTCGCATATGTCAAGATCTATTTTCCCCTAAGAGCGCCTCAAGAGCACCCCTGGGCAAAATCAACTATACTGCAAATGCTTACTTTGCGTAATGGGTTGAGCCACCCCTCGCCGTATGGCTATGTTCCAGAAGCATTCTCTCCTGATGTTTCACCCACATCTATGGCAGGCATCCTCAGAACTCAGAACCTCTGAGGATGCCTGCCATAGATGTGGGTGAAACATCAGAAGAGAATGCTTCTGGAACATGGGCAGACAGCCTGGAAAAAGTCAGCAACCCAAACATATATTTCCTCTTGAGAAAGTCAAGGCTTTCGATGGAAGGAAAGAGAAAAGAAGTCAACCGTTGTGATTGTGTTTTTCCTTTCCTCGTCTGAAAGAAACAACAACTACAAACTACCGCCTCTGTCTTGATGCAAATTCAGTT